CAGCCTCCGAAAGTGGGCCAGGCTCAGACCAGGCCACCCACCATGCAGCACCTGTCCTGTCCGTGGTCTCGCCAGCCACCCAGTCCTCCTCCTCCTACCTCCCGAGTGCTGGGATGCAGGTGTGCGCATGCTCTCTCACTTCTGAGCATCTCAGTACACACGCGTGCACGTGCGGAGTCCTACAGTGAGGACTCTGTTCAGTACCCCACAATTCTATGGGCACATCCCACATTCTAAATATGATTAGGTATTCCCATTTGTGCTGATTCCAAATGGCCTCTAAACACCACGAAATCTGCTTCTCTAAAGCTGTTAGGATCAGATGTCCTGCAGGACCCATGCCTCACAGTCAGGTAGGCCTTACACATGCTCACTCCTCAAGCTCCATCTCTTGTTGTTTTCCTTGTGGTCTATGTGTCCAAGAAACGTAGTTACCTGCCCACATCTGGAATAACCCATTGTATCTTCAGGCCTTGTTCTCACGCCCCTCCGCCCCCCTCACCCTCTCGCACTCCTGTGAATGTGTAAGCTGAATGCAGGGGCTAGATCAGATTGTAGCTAGTACTTCTTGGTCAAAACCACTTTATAGAACTCAGGGCCTGGGCCCTATTCCTGGATTTATTTGTTTGTTTGCTCACCCAAGTCTGATATAATATCATTTGAGCCACAGCTCTACTTCTAGCTGTTTGGCAGTTAATTGGAGATTAAAGTCTCATGGACTTTCCTTGCCCTGTCTGGCTTCGAACCACAATCCTCAGATCTCAGCCTCCTGAGTAGGAGGACAGGCGTGGACCACCTGCGCATGGCTCTGGCTGACTTTAATCTCTTGCGTGAGTCAGTGCTGTGTGAAGAGTCGTTGCATGTATTATTGAGGGAATAGACACCCAACGGTGAGTGTGGGCACATTCAGTGCAGGTGAACTTCCTCCTGAATACTATTGGTCACGAGAGCGCCTGTGGAGCCCACGGGTGTGAAGGAGGCAGAGGGCTTAGCCGCTCCTGGTGGCTGTGATTATTATCGGGGGGGGGGGGGTTGAGATGCTCACTAGCCTCACCCACGTAAAAGGAAATGGTGTTTCCAGCGTAAATTCGATTTCCTTTCCATCAACCTTCACGTGTCCTTTGAGGCTCCTCCACTATGTGTGAGCCCAGAGAACACTGGAACAGCCTTCAGGGAGAGGGACAATGCCCGATGTGCCCCAGGCTGCTGCTTGGAACCAGCACCAAGCACAGAGCACTGCAGTGCAGGTTAATAGATCACTGGAAGCTGTGTTGTCGGCAGCTGAATTTTTATAATAAATCCTTCTGCCGAGCAAACAGTATGTGCAGTGATTACCAACTCCAGGAAATAAATGATCACACACTGAGGCCAGGCCCCAGAGGCCCGGAGTGGGAGCAGAGCCTTCAGAATAGAAAGGAGAAATCAGCCAGGTACCATGGCTCACACCTGTAATTCCAGCTACTCAGGAGGCTGAGATCTGAAGACAGCAGTTTGAAGCAAGTCGGGGCAAGAAAGTCCATGGGACACTTACCTCTGAATAGCTACCAAAAACCTAGAAGTGGAGCTGTGGTTGAAGTGGTAGAGCACCAGCCTTGAGGGAAAAAGCTAAGGGACAGGCCCTGAGTTCAAGAAGGCCGCCAGAAAAAATAAGGAGGGGGAGGAGAAAAAAGAAAAGGGGTTCATAGCAGGAAAGCGCAGGCCTGTTAACTCATCACTGCCTGGGGAACACTGGAGGCTCCAGGTCCAATGCTCCCTGCGCGTCATGGCCCAGGAGGTTTTTGTTGATTTTGTGGCTGTTCTAAGATTCTGCCATCTTGGTTTTCGCTTGCAGAGGTTAATAGCTGCACTTTTTATCTTCCAAAGTTTGTGTGTGTGTGTGTGTGTGTGTGTGTGTGTGTGTGTGTGTGTGTGTGTGTGTACGTGTACTGGGTCAGTAGCTTGCAGAGGTTAATAGCTGCACTTCTTATCTTCCAAAGTTCGTGTGTGTGTGTGTGTGTGTGTGTGTGTGTGTGTGTGTGTGTGTGTGTGTGTGTGTGTGTGTGTGTGTGTGTGTGTACTGGGTCAGTACAAGGGCCTGACTGCTATTCCTGAGCTTTTTCACTCAAGGCTGGCACTCTACCACTTGAGTCATATCTCTACTTCTAGCTTTTTGCTGATTAATTGGAGATGAAAGTCCTATGGACTTTTCTACCCTAGCTAGCTTTGAACTAATATCCTCAGATCTCAGCCTCCTTGTAGCTAGGATTACACGCATGAGACTCCAGTGTCTGGCCCAAAGCTCCTATTAAAGAAAAAATGGTGACAAACCTACGGACTTCATGTTTTGACAGTCTTGGGGATTGAACCCAGAGTCTGTGCATGCTAGCCAAGCACTCTGCAGAGCTTGAGCCACGCTCCCTCAGCCTGAGCTCACAGAATTTTTAAATAATCATCCAGACTTTTCAGCATCCCTGGTTCCTGCCACTGTCTCAGTGGATCCTGGTCCTGCCACAAGCGCCTCAGGGCCCACGGGTTAGCAGGGCCCCGGGGTGGAGTCCACGTTGTCCTTCCACAAAGCTGATCGGGTGGTAGCCTGGCAGTGGGAGCCAGGGCCACAGCATTATCGCATACAATATTTTGGCCAGTTCTCTGGTTGCTTAGGAATCAGCGTTCACCTGAACTGCCATGGTACCATGAGACTCACTTTCCGGAGAGTGCTCCAGACAGGCAAGGAGGCAGCTTCCTCTTTAAATGTGACTAATTTTGTACATGTGACTTGATATCTTTTGAAGACAAGGCATTGCATCCTAGATAGTAATAACTCTCCAGATCCAATCACCATCTGTGAAGACATCAAGGGAAGCACACGCCTTTGGTCCCAGCAGTTTGTGGGCAATCCAGGCAAAACGTAGCAAGATCATCCCAACAAACAAGTTGGATATGGAGGCCCACACCTGTGCTCCCAGCTACAGAGGAGGCCAAAGATAGGAAGACCAAAATCTAAGGCTGAACCCCAGGTGAAAAGCACAAGTCTATCCAGAAACTAACAAAAGCAAAACAGTTCTGGGGTTGTGGTTCAAGTGGTAGAGCTCAAGTGCAAGGCCCTGGGTTCATATCCCAGCACCACCAAAAAAAAGAGGAGGAAGAAAGTGATGATGGAAGATGACTTCTATAGTGCACGGCAAGGAGGCTCGCCAGCCCGCCCAAGGCCCGGACTGGGATCTGTGCCACTTGTCACCCCACGAGGCCTCATGCTGATTGTGGGTGAGGGCAGCTGGGGGGGCACCACCCAACCAAGGGTCAGGACCTGTGCCCCGGAGCCTCCCACATTCACCCTGAGCACTGAAGGCTCTGCTGCAGCTGAACTCTGCCCCTTTAGTGCCCATGCAGACGGGGCCTGGGGAAAAGTGCCCAGTACCTACTGGGTGCCTTTCCTCAGCCCAGACACACAGTAGGGCTTGCTCCTCTGCCCTGTGAGCATACTGCAGAACAGCGGAACTCAAACCCCAGGCTGGAATGGGCCAAAGAGACAGACAAATGGATCCGAGAATGAGGGAAACCTGATAGAGGCTTAGAGCCACACTAGCGCAGGCTCAGGCACAGAACAACAGAGGGGCGAGATAGAAAAGGGGCAGGGTGGGTATGGCCGCAGGCAAGGTAGATCCAGTTACAGAACCCTCTAGAAGGCAGCAGGGAAAGCTAAAGAGCACTCAAGAGTCAGGAAAGTCTGTATAACTTGTATCTCCAATTAACCAACAATAAGCCAAAAATGGGGCCGTGACTCTAGTGTTAGAGCGCCAGCCTTGAGCACAAAAGCTCAGGGATGGCACCCTGGCCCTGAGTTCAGGCCCCAGTACACTTGCGTGTACACGCTCTCTCTCTCTCTCTCTCTCTCTCTCTCTCACACACACACACACACACACACATGAACGGAAAGCCCTGCGAGGGGCACCGGGGGACAAGGCAGCCTCAGCACAGAGGGGCTGAGCTGTGCACACCACCCAGCAGGCATTGATCAAGGGGATAGCAGGAGCCACACGGCAGGCCTAGGCCCCCGCTAGGACCACGGTGGCTGTCCCTCTGCTCCATCTCCTGTGGGCATGCTAGAATCTTCCTGGGTGGCCACCAGCCTTGGCTGTGCCCTGGCCCAGCCCACAGTGGGCTTCAGGACTGACCGCGCATCTGGGCAGAAGTGCTGTCTACTCTCACAGTGGTGGACCTTGGGTCGGTGTATCTGCCATCGCTCTTGGAAGTGGGGGCCAGAAAACCAGTAGGACCAGAAAAGCCACTGGTAGGGACAAGCCAGAGGTCTGGACCCCAGTGGTTCACACACAGAGCCCCCCAGCCCTCGTCTCCATCCCTACTGCCCCTGCCCCAAACCAACTATCTGCTCCTAGTTGCCTGTGTCCCAGAAAAGCCTGTCCCTGGCTTCTCCTCTTCTCCTCCTGACAAACTCCTACTCATCCTTTAAAACCCAAACAACTTGCTTCTCACTTCTGAAGCCTTGGGTGACACTATCCCCTTGGGAGAATTCACCTCTACCCACTCTGTTTTGTTTTGTTTGGTTTGGTTTGGTCCGGTCATGGGGCCTGAACTCTGAGCCTGGGCGCTGTCCCTCAGCTCTTCAGCTCAAGGCTAGCGCTCTACCACTTGAGCCACAGTGCCACTTCCGGCTTTTTTTTCTTTTTGCTTATGTGGTGCTGAGGAATCGAACCCAGGGCCTCATGCATGCAAGGCAAGCGCTCTACCACTGAGCCACCTTCCCAGCCCTCCCCACTCTGTTTTTCCAGAACTCCAGCTCAGAGCTCTGCCTGCATACCCCTTTGCAAGGGAGGGTTTTATCTGGTTTTGGCTCTGTGTGCCCAGCAGGTCCCCCACTTCCCAGATACACGGATATCAGGAGTGGATGAGGCCCGCAGGATGCCCCCTTCTTCTCACCCCACGCTGGGCCCCCTCCCCACCTCCCATCCCCAGCACCTGCCTGGTTGCTGACTAACCCACCCTTCTTCTCTCCTTCCCAGAGCCGACGAGATCGAGATGATCACCACCGACCTGGAGAGAGCCAACCAGGTGAGACTCTGCCTGGCAGCTCTGTAGCTGGGTGGTCACGGGCACTGGGAAGTTGGGCTGGCCTCGAGCACTCCCCAGGCTCCCACCCTCGGGTGAGCACCCCTCATGAGGACCTGGGCCTGTGCTCAGTGGGGGCATCTGTCCTCTCCTTGCCCAGTGAAATCAACTCCATGCCTAAGTCAGAAAGTCAGCGTGTGACGGAATGATTACGACATGGGCTTCACCTCCTCCCTGGGGAGAACTTGGCAGGCGCAGTACTGGGAGTGCAGATCCACGCTGGGATCCTGAACCTGCTCTCACAGGGCCCTTGGAGAGACAGCCTAGAACCGGCTGAGGTCGCGGGGGTAGCTCTAGCAACCAGGACATGTCAGAAAACAGGCAGATGTCCGGGTGGGGTATGGTGGCACATGCCTGTAACCCTGGCTACCTGGGACCCAGAGGAAAGAGAATTGAAAAATAGAGGCCAGCAGGGGTGTGCCCTGTCTTTAAAAAAAAATACAGCCAGATCCTAATGGCTTCCGCTTGTCATCCAAGCTACTCCTAAGGCTGAGATCTGAGGATCATGGTTCAAAGCCAGCTTGGGCAGGGAAGTCCATGAGACTCTTATCTCCAACAAACCAAGACACTCACTAGTCTTGAGCTAAAAAGCTAAGGGAGAGCACCCTGGCCCTGGGTTCAAGCCCTAGTACCTACCCTAAATAAACAAATGAATAAAAGTGGTGGTCTGGGGGTATAGCTCAAATGGTACACAGCATTTGCCCACAAGCAGGAGGCTCTGGGTTCAATCCCTAGTATAGCAGGAGAGAAACAGAGAGAGAATGGAAATAGGGAAGCTGTAGCCCCAGGTGTTGCAAGGATAAAGTTCCAGGGCTGTCGGGAGGAGGAGAAGTAGAAACAGAAGGGAAAGGCAGAGGTGTTGGCATTGCCCTCTGCCTGGAACCTGGAGTGGAGCTCCCAGCGGCTGGGCTAGCGGGCCCCATCCTGGAGGGGTCACCCTGCCTCAGCCTTGGGGGACGGAAGGAGATGGACAGAGCTGAAGCCATCCTGGGAGCTGTGGGCAGCTATGCAGACAGTGCAAGAGTCCATCCTGGGGAGGCGAGGCACAGGCTGGGCTGAGCAGGGCAGGGCCAGGCCCTGTGACAGCCACCACACTGCGGGCACAGTGCATCGGGACTGGCCCCTCCTCGTTGGAGCTAGTTCATTGGTATATAACGTGATTTTCGCCCAGGGCTCATAGTCAGATGTCCTCAAGAGGCCGGCCGCTTGGTGTTGGTGCTGAGGACAGGGAAGAGCAGGTCCCGGTCTGACACCTGCATGTTCCACCCCGTGGCACTCCTCATGTTTCCATCCTCCCCAGCAACCATTGCTGAGGCTTCTTGGCAAAGACAAAGTGCACCCCCAGCCCTGCGTCGGGGGTCCCCAACGTGAGCCAGCTGCTGCCACGCCCTGCCTGGCACCCCAGCCTGCATCCAGAGCAGTGCTGGTACAAGGTGCCAGTGGTATTGTACTGTGCCAGGCTTGGCCCAAAGCAAGTTGTTTAGGCCCAGCTGTGCTCTTAACCCCTGGCTTTGGTCCAGGGCTGCCGTGGAAGGTGGGCATGCCCTCTGGCCTTGCCTCTGCAGGACCCCGGCTCCGTGTCTGGGGTCGGATCATTTTTCATCCTTTCTTTTTTGTGTGTGTGCTAGTCCTGGGGCTTGAACTCTGGGCCTGAGCACTGTCCCTAAGCTTCTTTTGCTCAAGGCTAGCACAAAGGTACAGTGCCCAGGCCCTGAGTTCAAGCCTCAATACCACTTGAGCCACAGCACCACTTCTGGCTTTTTCTGTGTATGTGGTACTAAGGATTCGAACCCATGGCTTCGTGCATACTAGGCAAGCACTCTACCACTAAGCTACATTCCCAGCCCCTTTTTTTCATTCTTGTTAGGGGGTGGGGGTGCTGGGAACTGAACTCAGAGCCTCAAGCTTACTTGGCAAGCCTCCCCTGACCTTCACAGACAGTCCCCGGGCGCACCGTGGTCCTGGGCCAGGGAGGGGGAGAGTCTCTGAACAGGTGGCCCCGGCCCTCTGCCCACGATGCTAAATTTAGTGATCTGAACTAGAAACCAGTTCCTCATCCCGGCTGCTAGTCAACCCAAGCCCCACCCCTGCTTGCTCCCTGAGCTGCTATATTTTTATTGTTTTATTCTTCTGGTGCACCTGTTTAACTTCTCATACAAACCCTCATGGTGTAAACCCCAAATAGACAAGGTACAGGCCAAGAGCAGCCTGTGCACACACTCTGTGTGTTTTGTTTTGTGGAACCAGGGTCTTACTGTATAACTGGCCTGAAACTCTTTGCTCTTCTACCTCTGCCTCCGGAGCACAGGTGTTACAGGTGAGCGCCACCACGCTGGGCACCAAGAGCAGCCCTGTCTGTTTTGCTGTCCGTGATCAGAACAGCTAGGGGAAAAGAGGAACTTGGTTCATAGCCTCAGTAGTTGAACAGTAGCTGTGCACCAGTGGCTCACGCCTGTAATCCTAGCCGCTCAGGAGGCTGACATCTGAGGATGGGGGCTCAAAGAGTCTGTGAGACTCTTATCTCCCATTAATCACCAAAATACTGGAAGTGGAACTGTGTGCCTCAAGTGGGAGAAAGAAAGAAAGAAAAGCTAAGGTACAGTGTGCCCTGGCCCTGAGTTCAAGTTCCAGTACACACACACACACAAATGAGTTGCTCACTTAAGCCAGATATTTCCCTCGCCATGCCAGTCATGTGACAACTGGTTCTAGATTCTGCGTGGAGCAGGAGTCAGCCAGCACCCTGTGGGTTGAGTTGGGCCTGTTCCAGGAGCTCTCTGGGAAGCAAGGCAGGTGGTCACTGCCCTACCCTGGCCTGTTCTGGGCAGACATCATTGCCCTTTGCAAGAGTCTGATTGTGCCAGGGCCTCAAGGCCACCAAACCCTTCGTCTTCCACTGGGCTCGGTCAGTGAGGCCCAGGGCAGACTAACCTCTTGTGACCCAGACTAACCTCTGTGAGTCCCAGAGCCGCATGGCTCAGCCCAGTTTCCCCATTCCTCCTTTCTGGGCGTGACTGTCCCTCGCAGAGCCGCAGACTGCCACTTCATTCTGTCCATGTGTCCTTGCCACCAGCTGCCATTCCCACCTGTCTTAGAGCTGGTGTGGCGTGCAGGCCCATTCTGCAGGTGGGATGATGGAGACTCGTTGAGCACTGGTGTGGGCTCTGGATCCCTGCCAGGCCTCCCAAAGCTGCTGCCCTCCAGGGGGGAGCCTGGCTTTGCAGGTGCCCTGGCCTCTATGCCGTTGAGCTCACAGACCCCAGCGCTGGCTAGGGCTACCCACATGCCTCGGGCTCCAGCCCATCCCATCTGGCTGGCCACACCAGTGTCCCACCGTTGGAACACTTTGCCCGGTGAAGGGTTAAATAGGCAGAAACAAGGCTGGCCCGTACAAAAGGAGTGGCATTTATACCCACGCACTTATGGAAATGGTCTGGGAGGAAAACAACCACAACATTGTGCCTGCTTGGGGAGAGAAGGGCCAGTGTGCCTTCAATTCCCGCCGTGCCCGTGAGAATCGGTCCCAGGAGTGAGGCTGCAATAAAACCTCCTTGGTCCGTGAGAATCAGAGGAAATTGAATCAGAAGACTCGGTTCCCACTGTATTTATTCAGTCTGGGAAATTCAGTGGGCCGGAGCGCTAGTATCAGCAGGGGATCCCTCACTCCTAGCGTTAAATTACTGTCATAATCGCTCAATTATTTCTTCCTTGTACTGTTTAAAATAAAAATCCATCACATTGTATGTTTTTTTTTTTCCCCGAGCATTTATTAGCTTGAGTGTTTAGGAAAATCAATTACAGTCAGTGAGGCATGAATTGATGAATGTTCTAGTAATAATTGTCACTTGTTAAGCCCAATGTTCTTTTCTTCCCTTCACCCTGTGCCTTGTTCCTCAGAGGGCAGAGGTGGCGCAGAGAGAGGCAGAGACCCTGAGGGAGCAGCTCTCCTCGGCCAACCACTCCCTCCAGCTGGCCTCGCAGATCCAGAAGGCCCCGGATGTGGTGCGTAGCTGCCCCCCCCTCCACCCCCCCATGTGTACCCCCTGCCCGGCACAAATAGCCCCTGCTGGCCTAGCCTGCAGCCCCTGCCTTCCGGGCCCTGTAACCACCACCCCCAACTCCCTCCAACTCCCTGCCAGGCTTGGGGGTCCACAATTGCAGAGGGCCCTCCCAGACGAGCAAGGGGTGACCCTTGGCCATGGAGCTTTCCCATCGTCCCATGGGGAGGCAGAGGGCCCATGTCCATCTCCTTGGGGAGCAGTCCACAAGGTCATAAAATAGCAGACTGTCCCGTCCCAGAAGTGTGAGGCACGAGGCCCACAAACAGCACCCGCAGCCCGCGGCTCCTGCCCTACTCCATGGGCTTAGGTGACCGGCCCTGACTGCTTGGAACCTGGATCCTAGCCTTTACGCTCATACCCATTGGATCCTAGCCTCTGCTCACACCTGGCTCTGTAGTCTCAGGTGGGGATTTGAAGCAAACAGCTTAACTTCCAGAGTCTCTGACTCTATCTGTAAAAAAGAAATGTACTGCCAGACACAGTGACTCATGCCTGTAATCCCAACTACTTAGGAGGCAGAGGCAGGAGGAGACCTCCCTGGGCAAAATCAGAAGACCTTCTCTGGAAAATAAAGCCAAAAGAGCTGGAGGTCTGGCTTGGGTGGTAGAGGTCTTGAGTTCAAACCCTTCATACCGTAATTGGGGCAAGGGGCGTTTTACAAGGATTCAGAGCATTACTGGGAGCCAACCATGTAGAGTGAGCCCTAAGTCCCCCCGATTGCCCCCACCCTCAGCATCCCCACAGCCTGCAGGGAGGACGGAGTGGCCGTTCTACACCCCCGGGCTCCATGCCTCTGATGCCACAGGTATCCTTTGATTGAGCAGAGGCTTGTTCATGGAGGCCTTGCTGTGTCCTGGCTCACAGTGGACATAGGAACAACAAGGAATGCAATGAGGCCTAAGCATTTCCATAGCCAGGCATGGTGGCACAAGCTTGTAATGCCAGCTATTTGGGAGACAGAAGTAGATGATCATGGTCCAAGGCTAGCCCACGCAAACTGTAGCTTGACAGCCTATTAGAAAAACAAACAAAAGGTAAAGGTCTGGGGGCGTAGCTCATGTGGTGGCCTGAAACCCTGAGTTTTGACCCAGTAAATTAATAAATCTCAGTTGTGATAGTTTTGTCACTATGGCAGCCATTAGTCCCTGTGCTGTTACTGCTTTATGTGATGAGGAGAGGTTGCTCCGTGGGGATGACCACCAGGCCCCAGAGCTTGGGCAGACCCCTGACCTAGGTCAGTGAGCCTAGAACAACATCCATGTTAGAACCCATTGTAAGGCCAGACACTAGTTTTCTTTCTTTAAATTAACATTAAATACAGCTGGGCATGGTGGCACACACATGTAATCCCAGCACTCAGAAGGCTAAGTTATGAGGATCATGAGTTCAAGTTCAGCCTGGGATACCATATCGAGACTCTATTCCCAAACAGTCAGATGCCAGTGACTCACGCCTGTGATCCTAGTTACTCAGGAAGTTGCAGTCTGAGGATGGTGGTTCAAAGCCAGCCTGGGAAGGAAAGCCCCTGAGACTCCACGGCTCAAATGATAGGCACTAGCCTTGAGGGAGAAAGCTAAGGGACAGCGCCCCAGCTCTGGGTTCAAGCCCCAGTATGGGGATCTGGCACCATCCTGGGCCATGGCTGTCAAAATGTTCCAGAAGGAAATGAGTGTTTCCCCAGTGGAGTGCGTCTGCAGCCCAGCTCCTGCTTCAGGGGGCAAAAGGGTGGTGTTTGCTTGGCAGCTCTCAGCCCTCAGCATCTCCTTCCTTGTTCACACAAGGGAGGTGAGATGGAGTTCTGCCCGGGTTCTGCCACACCGGCAGGAAGGGAGCGGTATCTTCACCCCTGTGCTGAGGCCCATTCTCTCCACAAGTGACCCCAGGGATGGCCCAGCCACCAGCAGTGGCATCTAAGGTCCTTATCAGGACCCCAGGGTCCTAGCCTGAGCGCCTTGGGGACAAGGTGTCCCTGCTCCAGGCCAAGGCCCGGAGCCCACTAGCTCTATGAGAGTGAGGAGCCGCCCCTTCCTTGCCCACTACATCCATTCCCCTACCCTCCCCTGAGGAGGGTAGGGGGACGTAATTCCCCAGGCCTTGCCATCCTCTCCCGGGAGTGCCACGCATGGGGTCTTTCGGGCCACAGGCACGGGCCTCTGGCAAAGGCCTCTCCAGCACACTCCTAAGGCTGCAGAAAATGCAACCCCCATCCTTCTAGGCAAGGACGTGTTCTGTGAGCCAGAGTTTGTGGCTCTAGCCCCCCAGCCCGGCAGGGAGCCCTTTGACACATGAGCTCACCCAGTGTGGCACAGCCACATCACCCAGCCATTTAGACTGCCTGGGGGCCGCCAGCCCCAGGGGGGATGCTGGAAAAACAGAATCACTGAGGTGACGGACCCCCCTCACACCAGAGCCTGTGGGGGCTCTGCACGCTGGGGTGAAGGACAGGCAGAGGACGCGTCTGGTTGGAGACTATCAGTCCTCCTGTGGATAATTTTATAAAAGACAGTAGAAATGTCACTGAAATGTCAAATGGTTCTGGAGTTTTCTCCCACCAACTCTTAACTGCCTGGGCCGTGGCAGCAGCCATGGGGGGGGGGGGGAGGATGCCAGGCGGTATGCCTGGAGAGGCAGTGCCTGGTCAGGAAGCCAGCAGGGCCGCCTGGGCCCAGGGCTCTGTGCCCATCCGCCAGGGCAGAGGTGTGAGCGGCCCATTTTACAGCACCAGCCCCACCTCCCCTCCCCAGCAGACACTGGGCAAAGCCATTCTCCTGGGTGCCTGGCTGTCCACAAATATGACAAGTCTTGTGCATGGAATGGCCCGTAACTTGGGCATAATGCCACCCTTCCTCCCCAGTCCTGGCAAGATCAGGGCGTGAGGCTCTGGGAGTCCCCCGCCCCCAGGTCCACAGAAGCACGTCTGCCCTGCGAGGAGTCCCCCAAATGGTTTCTCCTTTTTTTGTAAGACAAGGTTTCACTATGTAGCTCAGGCTGGCCTGGAACTAGAGATCACCCTACCTTCTTCTCCTGTGTGCTGGAATTATAGGCATGCGCCACCATACCTGACTCTTGCGATTACTTTTTAAACTTGATAGAAGTACAACATGAGTCTTTGTGAAGCAGATAATTTGACCTTTTCTCCCTTTTAAATGCCCGTCCCTCCATGTTGCATATTTTTTTCAGGGGTTGACGGATTTTTGTTGTTGGAGTTTTTTGTTTCTTGTTTTAATAACAACATGCAGTTATCCTAAGAGTTTGAACAAAGGCAGCCTCACAGGCATCTTGTACGCCCTTGAACTCTGTTGTGAAAATGCAGACTGAATCAATTTGCTGAGAAGTATCTCTGCTGCTTCCAGATAAGTTAATCATGAATCTAAAAGACACTGACTCCCAGCAGGGGTAGAAAATCCAGGAGCTTTGAAAACATTCCAGAACTCTGGGCCACCCTTCTCACTCTTCCCCCGGCCTAAGCACGTTTCCCCAAGGTTCTCCGCCTCCTCATCCCCTGCAGATCGCTGCTCGCCCGTCCTGGTCATCCCAGCAAGGGCAGGGCACGGAGTCTGGCCCTCCACACCTCCACAGTGTGGCTCCTGCCTCGGCGGCCTGGTCATTTCTCTCTCCTGCGCAGGAGCAGGCCATAGAGGTGCTGACCCGCTCTAGCCTGGAAGTTGAGTTGGCTGCCAAAGAGCGCGAGATCGCCCAGCTGGTGGACGACGTGCAGAGACTGCAGGCCAGCCTCAGCAAGCTACGCGAGACCTCGGCCAGCCAGATTGCCCAGCTCGAGCAGCAGCTGAGCGCCAAGAACAGCACGCTCAAGGTGAGGCCCAGTGTACCCCGTCTTTCCCCACACCCCTCTCTCCTCCTACTTCTTCCCTCCCCCCCCCACTCCTACCACAGCAATCAGGGTGGCCACAGGGCCTTGCTGCCCACGCTGGCATGGACAGCACCCCTGTGTGGGTCACTGGTGCCTATGGTACAGTCGTGTCCCAGGTGTTGGGACACAGGCTGTCTTGTCACTCCCTGCCCACTGCCCAGCTCATGACTGGACGGCTCCGAAGCCTGAGCTCCCTGGGTGCCGCATAGGCACAGGTCGTGGTCAAGTCCAGCTGACTGTCCCTCAGGAAGCTCCAGCATGGCAGCCAGTGTTTGCTTAGGTCCTAACTGAACTCCCAGGCCGAGAATTGCTCCTTTGCCTCTTGGGCCTCTGCCACAGCCCCATGGCCTAGCCCTTTGCTGCCTCGGCACTGAGAGACCCATGCTGTCCCTCCCACCCAGGTGGCCTTGCTGGGCAGCTGGGGCCCCCAGGGCTCTCAAGCCTTTCTCACATACCAAATAGTGAGCACACTTTAAGATCTTAGTCTGTAGTCCATTGGATCAAGTGTAATTCATAGTGCACTTTGGGACCCTAGATTGTGCCATCAGAACCAGGATGCCTCCTGGGAGGGAGGGACCCCGTGTCACTCTGTGCATGTGCCTTCAGTGAAGGGGATTGGATTAGTTGTAAATGGTTAAGGAGGCCAGGAGTAGTGGCACCCACTTGTAGTCCCAGCTGCTGGGGAGGCTGAAGCAGAGGATCTCTGGATCCCAGGTATTGCGGGCTAGCCAAGCACAGTATCTAGACCCTTATTCACAAAGGGAGAAAAGGGGACTGGGGCAGGTTGGAGAGGGTGGGGAGAGAGAGACAGACAGGCAGACAGAGAGAGAAGAAAAGTTTTCTACACGAAGTATATTCTAGAATACAGTTAAACCCATTTCTTCTTACTTTTACTTTTTGAGATAAGGTCTCACTAAGTAGCCCCAACTGGCCTTCATCTCTTGATCCTCCTCCCGAGTGCCGGGATTACAGGTGCACTGCCATTCCAGGTTGATATTCTTTGTTGTTTTCTAATGATCGTCTCCACACATGACCATGCATGACCTCTATTGCTGACCAAGGGGTGGGGGGAGGCATAGCTCTCCCATGCTCATTTCTTCCTTGCCCCTTTAGGGTGCAAGGCATACACTTCCTGAGAAATTCTGCCACCATGGGGGCACTCTGAGGAGCAGCCCCACCCTGGGGCTAGGTAGGTGGGAGGCTGGGCACTACCTTGCTTTATTTCTCCAGTGCTTCTTCCTCTCTGATCAGCTTGCCTGATGAGTGCCACAACTCATTTTTTATTTCCAGGTTTAATCTAATTTTCTCCTGCAGTAGCCATTTCTGACCCTAGCAAAGGCATTATTATTAGATAATTTGCCTTTCTTCCCTTTTTTATGGTTACAGGGCAGAACCCCAGTATACCCCTCATACACCCCATGCCGCCAAGCTCTAGACCTTCCATTTTTCATTATGGAGCAATAGCTTCTAAATCAGTTAAAGGTTTTAATGTTTGCCTTCACAAAAATGAAACGCAGTTTCACAAATTAATGTTCTTTATCCGTATCTTGGGGGAATTGCTTAATACCGTGCAGTTAATGAGACAATCCAGCGATGGTTCTTCCAAAATCACTGCTCCCCATCTTTGTCTGATCTAATAATCAAAACATATCCGCTAGTAACAAGACTGTGCTAATTTTAATTATCTTAACCCCTTGTCGCCAGGAGTAAAGATTTCTCTGAGAGCAAAGACATACACCACAGGCCTCAGATTCTCCCCACCACCCTCCACCAATGAGCAATCATACCTCCTGCACCCCAAAGGGATATGGCTAATTGAATGAGAGGCCTTTGAGGCCTCAGTCTCTGATCTAGAGGCGGAGGGGCATGGTGACCGGGAGGGTGCTTTATGAATGGGACCTGTCCCCATGGCAACTAGACGCTCCTGAGTCTGCCCTCGCACTGGCTGAATTCCACCAGTGCTGGTGGCTCTGTCTACAGTGGTGGAATGTTGGGGTGGCTGACGCATTGGGCCTCTGGCCCCGGCACTGGAACCCCCATCTTTTTCCTCACCAATCAGTTTTATGTCTGTCAGTCTCTGTTAACCAGAGTTCCATTCTTTGAACCACAGTTCCCAGCCAGTGTGTCACTGTGTCCCTCCCCTTTATTTATTTGTTGTCGGTCTTGGGGGTTGAATTCAGGGCCTGGGCACTGTTCCTGAGCTCTTTCTGCTCAAGGCTAAGGCTCTACCACTTTGAGCCACAGTGCCATTTCTGATTTTCTGGTAATTAATTGCAGATAAGAGTCTCTCAGAATTTCCTGCCCAGTCTGGCTTCAAACGGTGATCCTCAGATCGAAGCCTCTTGAGTCGCTGGGATTACAGGTGTGAGCCACTGCGGCCCAGCCCCCTCACTTTTAAATAGACATGGAAACCAACCTTGGAATGGGGGGCGTCTTCCTGCACATGTCCGCTCTCAGAGGCGAATTCCATGCTCATAATTAATGAAAGCGCTGATGGCCGTGACAGGGCTGCTATTTTTGATAACTATTTCATGGCTTTCTGTCAGAACACTCCAAAATAGAGGCGGCATAATTAGGCAGTCACCTGCAGTATGTTCACCGTGGCACAGAGGATAATGGTCCCCCAAGGGTGGAGTAGAGATGGGGTTGGCTGGGGCACTGCTGGCATCCTGCAGGGAGAGGGGACCCTGGGCAGGTGGGCCGTGTGCGACCCTGCCCCAGGGTCGCACCCCAACCTCCCCGCCAGAGCCCGTGGGTCCTCACCTGCCCTGCGGGCTTGGGTACAGCAACCCGGTGTGGCCGGCAGCCTGGCGCTCAGCCTCAGCACCGAGGCCTCAGCACTGCCTAACTTGAGTATGATGACTTTGCCGAAGTGAGGGCTGGATCACAGCGTGCCGAAATAAAGCCCCATCTCCTTACCACTCAAGTCTGGGCCCACACCTTGAGACCTTCGGCTAGGTCATCGAACGCCTGCCAGTTCCCCAAGCCACGGGGGGTGCGCCTCCCACGGGATGGCCACGGTGTGGGGAGGGCCAGGGCCTCACTGCTGTTGGTGAACCCCTCTCGGCGCTGCCCCGCCGTTGGAGGAGGGGCCAGCTCTGTAGTCCTGGCAGCCAGCAGCCACCCCTCCAGGAAAAGCCCCTGCATGCATTTGCGCCCAGTCCCCGGGTGCTGCCCTTCATGGGGCCTCGTCCCCGCAAGCCCATCAGAAACTAAGGACACGCACCCAACCCCATCCCAAGTGTTCCTTCTGTGGCACAGTGCAGCTGCCCCAGCTCCCAGGCCTGCAGAGAGGATCCCTGTCCAGCCCAGGACACAAGCCAGGAGCAGGGGCCAAGCACAGACCCTCCCTGCCCAGAAGAGACTTGTGCAACATTGTCAGATGCAGCCCGGGAGTGAGTCGGGGAGATAACCCAGCCCCCAGGTTCCACCTTCCCGCTCCACGGCGGGGCTGCAGCTGCTACTGCCACCGCCCGGCCTGCAGCCAGTGCAGGGACGCCATTGCACCCCGCTCCCACAGCTGGAACTCCATAACACATGCAGTACGAGGACTGCTCGCTTAAAAACTGCAGCCAGACGTCTTAAATTTAAGCTGGAATAAAGATTTGAAAACAAGCCAGAGAACAGTGGCTCACTCCTGCCATCCTCACTACATACTCACAGGAGGATGAGATCTATCTAGAAGATTGTGGTTTGGGGCTAGTCTGAGCAGGAAAGTACATGAGGCTCCCTCTGCTGCCAGCCAAAAACTCGGCTAGGGGCGTGGCTCTGGTGGTAGAGTGCCAGGGTTTTTAGGGTCCCGGCAACACTGTGTGATGCTCTGTTGGAGAGGGTTGTCTGATATTTGGCTATAGGATGCTAAAAGATGCGTTTGTGGGGAAATAAAAACCTATCCCTCCTGTTGGATTATGGCTGAGAAAACCATTATACAAAGTTGGCAAGAAATCTTAAAAGTAAGCGAGGCAGAGTAATTTCCGGCTGTGGAAAACACACATGAACTTGCCGGTGGAGCCAAGGGAAGAGGGCTGAGCCAGTAGTGACAGAGTAGCTTTCTCAACATAGGACAGGTTCAGATATAATCATCCTGGCCAACAGCCGGGCAAACACGGGGGTTTCAAGGTGGCTAGTCAGGCATAGCCAAAAACACACCTAGAACCCCTGCAGGTACTCAGGCGACGGATCTTTTCCTTAAGCCTGGAATCCTGCCCTGAGCCTCAGGGCTCAGCTCCCTGTGGAAGAGGTCAAGGCAGACATCCAAAACCACCTGTGGCTGGCCACGGGTGCCAGCAGCCCTTCCCACGAGGAAGGCCCAACAGGCTGTGGGCAAAGTGCCACACCCACACCCAGCGCGCTTACACACACTTATTCTAGAATATCTTACAGCACTATTGCGCTTTTTTGTATGTGTGCCAGTCCTTGGGCTTGAACTCAGGGCCTGGGTGCTCTCCCTGAGCTGTTGTGTTCAAGGCTAGCACTCTACCACTGTGAGCCACAGCATCACTTCCAGCTTTTTTTGGTGATTAATTGGAGATCGGGACTTTCCTTCCCAGACTAGCTTTGAACCACGATCCTCAGATCTCAGCTTCCTGGGTAGCTAAGGTGACAGGGGTGAGCCACCAGCACTTTGGGAGCTTGCTGTCTATCCCCAGGACTGAGGAACCAGGGACCCCTTGGGACTCAAGCTGGCTGTCAACCCACTAAGCACTCAGTGGCACAGCCTCCCCAGTCCAGGCCCCAACACCCAGGCCTGGGACCGCAGATGCTCACTTAACACATTCTTGGTTGATGGGGCAACTGCACAGCCAAGGACCCGCACCTCTTGTTAGCAGATCCCCCAAAGGCATGGACGTCCAGCAGCAGACAGTGGCCGCCACACCAGCCTCAGGGCTCTCAGGGCGGGGCTGCTGGGCACATGTGTTCCATGCTCATGCTAGGCAAAGCCCAAGAAGCAAAAGAGAACAAACAGTGTTGCCATGGCTGCTTCCGTGTGTGCAGGGTCCTGCCCCATGCATGGCTGGCCGCGTGGTCAGACACGCCACCCTTAGGCCTCACTGTGTGCTTTCAGACATGGCCACTAATAAAATTCCTTCTGTTTTCAGCAACTGGAAGAAAAACTCAAGGGCCAGGCTGACTATGAAGAGGTGAAGAAGGAGCTGAAGTGAGTACACAGATGCCCGTGGCCTTGGCAGCTGGGCCGTAAGGACCATCTGCTGCTGGGCCGGGGGCGCCGGGCAGCTGAGACACCCACAGCCTCACCTGGGTCTGCCAAGTCCTGGCCACCCAAACTGTGAAAAATTTGTGTATTGAATGTATTCTAGCGAGTCAGGCGTGGTGGTGCACGTCCAACCAACACGCAGGACATAGAGACAAGAGGCTCGCAAGTTGAAGGCTAGCCCAGCCACACAGGAAGACTGTTTCGAAAACCAAGGGCTGGGGGTAACTTGATGGCAAGTCACTCCCCCAGCACACAAAGACTGGGCTCCGTTCTCAGCATCACAAAAGTAGTAATTATTATTATCAAAGTATTCTGATATGCACAAAGTCAAGAAATATTACCCTTCCAGAAAATCATAAAATTGGAGCTCACAGCTGTGTACCAGTGGCTCAGGCCTATAATTGTAGCCACTTAACAAGCGGAGAGCTGAGATCGGGGTTTGAAGCCAGCCCAGGCAGCAAAGTCTATGAGACTCTTATCTACAATTAACCAACAGAAAAGCTGGAAGTGGAGCTGTCGCTCAAGGGATAGAATGCTAGCCTTGAATTAAAAAAAAAAAAAAAAGCCTAAGGAAAGCTTCCAGGAGCAGATCTAGACACCAGTGGCTCATGCCTGTAATTCTAGCTGTTCAGGAGGCTGAGATCAGGAGGATTGTGATGTGAGGCTGGCATGGCCTCTGGTCTGAGGGGAGTGGGTCGGGACAGGTTGGGATTCCCTACAGTGCTGAGCTACTCAGGACTGCCAGGTCATTGGTAAGTACATGTTGAATAAACGGAGAGGGGGTGTGCACCTGCCTGCGGGTTCAGTATCTCTTACTGGAACTGTTTGAGGTCAGCAGTGTTTTGGTTTAGTTATATTTTTTCCAGATTTTGGAATATTTTGCATGCACCGAAAGAGATACCTTGAGGCTGAGACCTAAGCCTAGACACCACATTCATTTGTTTGTCATGCACTTTATGTGTATAGCCTAACAGTGCTTTTGGCAACTCAAAACGTTTCCAATTTCAGATTGTCACATGGGGCAGTTGGACCTATATAAACCCAGAGACTCTTTGTCTTTTTCTGACATGGTCATGGAGGCCCCAAGCATATAGTTGCAGACTGGAGGCATGGCTCAAGTGGTAGAGCACCATGTGTAAGCAAAACTGAGCAAGAGCACAGGGTCCTGAGTTCAAGTCCCAGTACTGGCACAGGCACACACACAAACCTAGCTGCAAACACCCTGACTCTCAGGAAGAAAAGAGAAGCTTGCCCTGATGGCTCCTAATCTCTCCCGTGTGAGAGGTGGTGAGTTCTCACCTGTGGAACTCAGAGGCTGGCAAAGTAGACAGGAAGGCACAGCAGGAAGATGGAGTCCAAGGCCAGCCCAGGGCAACGTTAGTGGGGTCTTGTCTCAAAGTGCTGAGGGGCATGGGGTTCAGATGGTAGAGTACTTGCCTGACGTGTGCCCCAGTAGTCAGAGGGTCACAGGAGCCAGTTCAGGGGACCTCATGTTCAGGCTGTGACTCCTTCCAGTCCTGAGCTGCAGGAAAGGCCCCAGCCGTTGGGGAGCAGCCCAGGTGGATGCTCATTCCACACCCAGCCCCTGGCAGCAGCCGGGGATCAGGACTCCTCTGGCTCTGTTTCCTGGGGTGGTAGACTCCCCAGCGCAGGCCCCACCCTGCTCCAGCCTGGGAGGACTTGAATGCTGGGCACAAGACGTTTGTTGGCCAGCTGCTCATGTGTGCTAGCTATTCTAGAGACACTGTCACATGAAATTCCTGCCAGAAAGTTGTGGGGTTTGACAGTACCTCAGCTCTGCAGAGCAAGAAATGAGGTGTCAGGGGGCTGGGAAGGTGGCTCAGTGGTAGAGTGCTTGCCTTGCATGCTCAAGGCCCTGGGTTCGATTCCTCAGCACCACATAAGCAAAAAGAAAAAAGCCGGAAGTGGCGCTGTGGCTCAAGTGGTAGAGCGCTAGCCTTGAGCTGAAGAGCTGAGGGACAGCGCCCAGGCCCAGAGTTCAGGCCCCATGACCGGACCCAAAAAAAAAAAAAAAAAGAAATGAGGTGTCAGCACCTCTCCACGCACACGGCCGCTCACAAGCTGCTGGCGGAAGATGACTCTCTGCCTTGTCCTTTCAGCATCCTCAAGTCCATGGAGTTCGCCCCGTCGGATGGAGCAGGGATGCAGGTACTCCCCCTCGTGCAGCCCCTTCTCTGCCTTTCCATGACACTTCTCACTTATGGCAAGCAGAAGGCAATGGTCCCAGCCAGGCATAGGGGATCCACCATTAATCCCTTCCCTTGGGAGACTGAGGCGGGATGATGACGAGTTGGAAGCCAGGCCAGGCTACATAGCAAGACCCTGTCTCAAGAAATAATAGCAAGCTGGGCCCTGCTGACTCACAACTGTAATCCTAGTGACTCAGGAGGCTGAGATCTGAGGATCATAGTTCAAAGCCTGGGCAGGAAAGTCCCCAGGAGACTCTTATCTCCAGCAAACCACCAGAAAACCAGAAGTAGCACTATGGCTCAAAGTGGCAGAGCACTAGCCTTGAGCAAAAAGAGCTTAGGGGCAATGCCCAGTCCCAAAACTGACCAAAGGCGGGGGAAGCAATAAAAGAAGCAAATAGTCTTTAAGGAATGGGGAGATAAAAAGTGGGGCTGGAGGTACGTCTCAAGTGGTAGCGTCTGCCTTGCAAGCTTGAGGTCCTGAGTTGTCTCTAGTACTGACCTCCCCACTCCCAAAAAATGTTTGCCAAATGGCTATGTTCCCATTAAATTGCAATCTCGCTTTGGCAACTCCTAAGGACATGGGTAAACAATTTCATGGCCATGAGAGGTGGTTCATACCTGTAATCTACTCAGGAGGCTGAGTCCAGGTTAATCTGGACCAAAAAAAAAAAAATTGTGAGGCTCCCCCCATCTCAACAGAAAAGACTGAGTAGGATGGTGGGAAACATAAGTAGGATCAGATAATGATCCAGGCTGGTTGAGGCAAAAAAGTGAGACCACCCCTCAAAAATAACCAGAGCAAAAGGACTGAAGGTGTGGCTCAAGTAGCAGAGTTCCTGCCTGGCAAATGCAAGGCTCTGAGTGCAAACTCTAGCAGGGAAGAAAAAAAACCCAGGAGCTGGGGTGTAGCATGTATGTGCTCTGCATGTTCCATGCCCAGAGCCTAAGCACAGCCCTAGAATTTAAACCAAAATCAGCAACTGTTTGTTTCAAGTTGTGTTAAAGATCAGCCAGAAATAGATTAGCATGGGAATCTCAGCTATACACTGCCCGTGCAGACTTGGGAACAGGGCGACAGGGCACCTGATCACCTGGAGGCCAACTAAAATTTATACCATGGAGCTGGGCATGGTGGTACAGGGTATCTAGTTAAAGGCAGGGGGATTTCTTAAGCCCAGAAGTTTTGATCTAGCCTGGACAACAGCAAGGTCCTGTGTTTTTATTTTAAAAAATAAAAACTATGCTGGGTACCAGTGGCTCACACCTATAATCCTAGCTAAGCAGGAGGCTGAGATCTGAGTATTGTGGTCCAAAGCCAGCCCAGGCCAGAAAGTCTATGAGACTTTCATCTCCTGTTAATTACAGAAAAAGGTGGAAGTGAAGCTGTGGTTCAAGTGGTAGAACATTAGTCTTGAGCAAAAGAGGCTCGGAGTCAGCAACCAGGCTCTGAGTTCAAGCCCTAAGACTGGTACAAAGATAGATAGAGCGAGCCAGGCATTGGTAGCTCACACCTGTAATCCTAGCTACCAGGAAGCTGAGATCTAAGAATGGAGGTTCAAAGTCAACCTGGGCAAGGAAATCCATGAGACTCCTATCTCCAATTAATCATCCAAATGGTAGAAGTACAGCTGTGGCTCAAGTGTAGTGTGCTAAGCCTTGAACAAAGGAGCTAAGGCACCACAACCAGGCTGGGAGTCCCAGCCCTGGGACTGGCATTAACTAATTTAAAATGATAGAATGGATATTGAGGCTCATGCCTGTAATCTCAACTACTTGAAAGGTAAGAGATCAGAAAGACAGCAGCTTTAGGCCAGCCCACGCAGAAAGTGCACAGGGCCACATCTCAATCACCAAGCCTGCTACCCCACTACAGGGCATCTCAGCCAAGGCACAGGCATAAAACCCCACCCAAGAACTAATGATAGCATAGAGTACTAAGAGTGCCTGTCACGCAGACAGAGGCCGTGAATTCAAACCTCACACCACCCAAAAAGCCAAACGAAAATGAAAATGGAAAAAACAAAACTAAAAGCATAGGCTTCTGATGCCCAGAGGCAGCTCGGTAAATACATATATGTGTGTGCATATGTACATACACGTTTCCGATTACTTTGTACCCACAGCGCTGGGTAGCTTGATGTCCCATTCTAAGAAGAAAGCTTACTTGGGCTGAAACTCAACTGTATTTCTGAGGAGCTTGCCTATTTTCCTTGTGTCCATTAAACACCCCACGGGGACTAGGCCAGCACTGGGTGGGGAGGTGGTGGGCGGGTGGCGGAAGTGAGCCCACTCGAGCCCCACTCTCCCCACTCCAGGATGCTGCGAAGCCCCTGGAGGTGCTGCTGCTGGAGAAGAGCCGCGCCCTGCAGTCAGAGAATGCGGCCCTGCGGATCTCCAACAGCGACCTGAGCGGTAGGTAGCTTCCAGGGGACGAGGAAGCAGAGGGGAGCTCGAGGCCAGCACGGGCCTGGTAGGCGCGCCGCCGGTGGATGACCTTTGAGTGTTGGGCGGGGCCGATCGCAGAGGCCCCAAGGATGTTGGCTTTCAGTCTTTTCCTAGTTGTGCTGCGTGCGGACAGGAGGGGGGGCAGACACACGCGCCATCTCTGTGGGGAGTCTGTCTTCGAGGGGTCGCCGGCACCCCTGGCTCAGGGGCACTTCTCCTTCCTTGGCCAGGTTTTCACTGGGGCCGCGTCCCCCAGTCTTAGCCTTTCTTTGTTGGTGTCACTGATGGCTTCTGGTTTGTCGGCTGGTAAATGCGTCAAGGTGTCTGGTGGTAACGCGTTGTGTGCCGTGCGCGCGCGCCTTGGATCGAGCGGATTCGGTGCAGTTGCGATCGCCTCCCCGCGCGTGGTGAGAGCCACCCGTGGCTCCTCCAAATACCTGCGCGTGCTGCGTGCTGCGTGGCTCCTCGGGCAGGGCCGGACCTGCCGCCCCTCTCCTGTGTGTGTCACCGGCTCCTGTCACTCTAGCAGTGTTGCCCTTGGGCGAGGGCAGTCTCCAGGCTGCAACGTACAAGAAAGGTGCAAACATGAATGCATGTGGCTTGTTTTGGGGGGCCTTGTTTGGCTGACTTAACAAATTCAATTGGAAAAAAAAAAAAAAAACAACACACCTCATTGGCCCTTGTCAAATCTGCACTTTTTTGGTGTTTTTCCCTTTTGTGGGGCAAATTTGCATTCTGGTCTTGGTTTTTTTATCCCCCCCCCTTTTGAAATCCCCCCATAATGCATTCTGTTTGCCCTTCCTTGTAGGGTCAGCCAGGAGAAAAGGGAAAGACCAGCCTGAGAGTCGGCGCCCGGGACCCATGCCGGCCTCCCCTCCTCCCCAGGTGCCCCGCGGCCCGGGGGACCAGGCTTCCAATACTAATGGTACACACCAGTTCTCACCAGCGGGGTTAAATCAAGACTTTTTCAACTCATCCCTGGCCAGCCCCAGCCTACCCCTGGCTCCTACGGGAAAATATGCACTAAACTCTCTTCTCCAACGGCAGCTCATGCAGACCTTCTACTCCAAGGCCGTACAGGAAGCAGGAAGCACAAGCATAATTTTTTCAACAGGTCCATACAGCACAAACTCCATCTCTTCCCCAAGTTCATTACAACAGAGCCCCGATGTCAATGGCCTGGCGCCGTCGCCCAGCCAATCCGAAAGCGCCGGGAGCGCCTCGGAGGGCGAGGAGATAGACACGGCAGAAATCGCCCGGCAGGTCAAAGACCAGCTCATCAAGCACAACATTGGACAGCGAATCTTTGGACATTACGTCCTGGGACTGTCGCAGGGGTCTGTGAGCGAGATTTTGGCCCGGCCCAAGCCGTGGAATAAGCTGACGGTCCGTGGCAAGGAGCCATTCCACAAGATGAAGCAGTTCCTGTCGGACGAGCAGAACATCCTGGCCCTTCGCAGCATCCAAGGCAGACAGAGAGGTGAGAGACGCCCTCGGGCTGGCGCCAGCCTACAAGCTCATCACGAGCTGTGTGTGGGTGTGTGAGTGTGCACGCTTGCATGTGTACGATCGAGTGGCCGGCATTCCTGCATTACATCAGAGCCGTCCAGGTGTTCCATGTCCAGGGCTCAGTCAGCCAGCACAGGCAGAAACGGTCAGGTGTGTGAGAGCAGCCCCTCTGCTCAGCAGACTCAGTGTCGCCACCTGTGTTGAGTTGCAGGGAATGACAGTCCTGCACATGGCGTCCAGGGGGGCCCAGAGGCCTCATGTAGGGAGCCGCCCCAGGGTGTCAGCTCTGAGCCCTGGCTTCTCTCCTCTTCCTCCTTCCCCAGAACACATGACCCACAGCCACCAGGCGTCATCTATGTCCAGTGGTGATCTTTTTTCTTTTTAAGCAGTATGAGCAATACTTGTCTTCCTCAATGCAGAAAGTTATATTCAGACTGATTCCTACCCCTACCTGCCAGAAAAAGCTACAGAGTCAGGGCATCCTTCCCCTCCCATAGTGCAGAGGCTGAGGCCACAGCCACTCCTGGACAGGAACTTCCGGCAGCCACATTTGCAGCCCCCTGAAATTTAGGCTTAGATAGAGGGAGAAGGGAAGATTGGCGCAGAGCGCACAGAGCAATTCCTGGCCATGTTGACTAAATTGAATGTCTCCGGATGATTACTGTAAGCTCCGTGCTTGGCTGGCCATGATGGCTTGGGGCAGCTGTCCCAGCTCTGCCCTCGTGGCATCTCCTACAGGAGTTTGGCCAGGGAAGGGCCTCTCAGAACTCTCTGGTAGCTCCAAGTTGCGCAGGAAGCCCTCAGCCCTTTCTTTAGCGAAGTCACGCCCCCTCCCCTGATTGTTTTGTTCTTACCACACTTGTTTTTCAACAGAGAATCCAGGCCAGAGCCTGAACAGACTATTTCAGGAAGTACCGAAACGAAGAAATGGGTCTGAAGGTATGTCTCAGGCAGGTGTTTTCCTTTGCAGTCAGTCAGCTAGGGAAGAGAAGCATGTCCTTAGCCAGGCATTTGGGTTAAAATGTGCAGTATGGTTCTGGCCTGGAACCTGATGGAAAAACAGAGCTAGTAAGTATAAAACAAAGTAGGGGGTCCCGGGTGCCCAGCCCCTTCCTCCTGAGCTGCCTGTGCTCTCCCGAGCCCAGGCGGAGCCTGGAGAGGCAGCCGGCCCCACACCCAGCCCCATGCCCTGCCCCTCCACCCCTCCTCCCCAGGAGCAAGCCACCACCTCACAGTTGTGCTCTGAGAAAAGTCAGGTGACAGCATCAAAGCAGAGCCTGCTGCTTCCTCCAACTTTTAACCCTGAAATCTGTCGAGAGGCCCACGGAGGGGCCGGATTCCAGACAGAACCGGTTCTCCATGGGACTTGGCAAGCCAGCCCCCACCATGCCCCTCAGAAGGCGTCTTTAATGGGGCCTCGTCCCTGTGGTATCCTTGTTTTTAAATGGTTTCATGTGGCGCTTCCTATTGAGTAAGGTAGTGAACGATTAAGAGATCTGGCCAGCTTCCAGAAAGATCTGGGCCCGAGTAGCTTCAGGCGGCTGCACGTGAGGCCGCTCTGCAGAGCGCCAACCCTGTGACCGGAAGAATGGATTCACGTCCTTGAGGGTTCTGCAGGCTTCCGCTCCTCCAACATGAAATTCCCAGCTAGGCCCACGAGGGTGGAAGTTCACCTGCCGCTCCAAACCACTGATCCGTGATCATCCTCAGCCCTTTAGCCTCCTTCTTCCCAGGTGTCCCGAGCCAGAGCAGTTGCAGGCAAGGCTTTTAAATGGCCTGAGGCACAGCGCCTTTGGGTCCCCACCCAGGGGCCACAGAGCGAATGTGAGAGCCGGGGTCCCTCCGGCTGTGAGGTGGGCCCAACAGGGCACCTCCACCCGGGGCCCTGGGTCAGAATGCTGTGTCGATGCGGTGTGAGTGGTGGCGTCAGGCGTGGGTCTGATGGCTCGGCCATGTCTTCTCCCCACAGGAAACATCACTACCCGGATCCGAGCCTCCGACACGGGCTCCGACGACGCCATCAAATCTATCCTGGAACAGGCCAAGCGGGAGCTGCAAGTGCAGAAAACCGGTACGGCTTCCACCGCAGCCGCTGGCCCTAACGTCATTAAGACAATTGTCAGGAGTGTTCTGGTCAGCGGTAATTACATTTTTTTTAAATGGTAGTGAGCCGAGAGGAGCGGCTGTGTGACGTGCATGGCTGACAGTACCGTTCCCTAGCCTCAGCTCAAGGACCCTCCTACTCCCCCACCTAGAAGCTCCCTAATCTACGTTAGCAGGTAGTTTGGCTTTTGTTATTTGGTTATTAGTAATTCCTGACCAAATGCAACTGGAAAAAAAGAAAAACAATGAGCAGAAAATGAACCTGTAAACTGGGTGTGGTAGCACATGCCTTATAATCCTTGTTTCAGCCAGAGGCTTGTGAGTTCCAGGCCAGCCTGGGGTCCACGGTGAGACTGTCCCAAAGACCAAAAAGAAGAAAGCTTTCACTGTGTGACAGAGTTGCTGGTCCAAGCACAGATCAGCAGCTTTGATGGGGAGATGTCCACTTTCTGGGTGGACGGTAGGCCCATCTGAATTCTTCCTCATGGAAGGACCCTCCATTCCCACTTCTTAGATAAGACTGAGAAGCCCCTTAGGATGCAATGCAGGGAACCCTGCCTGCTCTCCAGCCAGGAAGCCCTGATCCCCAGAGCATCCCCACCCCCCTCCTGCCAGGCCGGACCCCCGCAGCCATCGCTGCTCAGCTGGGCCGCTGCTGGCAATGGATCCATCTGCCTTCACACCACTTGTCCCAGGGTGAGTTCCGTGTTCCCTCCCGGGCCGGAACGGGGCCAGGCACTGTCCTCTGCCTTCCTGCTCGGTGGCCAGAGGACAGATGTCAGCGTCTGGCTCTTCCTAACAGCATCAGCATCAAAGCCATCCACCAATCTCTCAAGTCCAGTGCCCTCCCCTCTAGACAACCACTGCCATCTTGAGCAGGAGTGGCCAGTGTCTGCACGGGCCGTGGGAGTGGGGTGGTGTTTGGCAGACTAGGGAGGCAAAGCTGGGCTCGGCAGTCCCCCCACAGTCTCACCCTGTGTTTGTTCCACACAGCCGAGCCAGTCCAACCGTCTTCCGCATCTAGCAGTGGGAACTCTGATGACGCCATCCGCTCCATCCTGCAACAGGCCCGCCGGGAAATGGAGGCCCAGCAGGCCGCTCTGGACCCTGCCTTAAAGCCAGCACCACTGTCCCAGCCCGACCTCGCCCTCCTCACCCCCAAGCTCCTGTCCACCTCCCCTATGTCCTCTGTGTCCAGTTACTCGCCTCTCGCCATCTCCCTGAAGAAAACCGCCACGGCCCCCGAGGCCAGCACCTCTGCACTGCCCAGCACTCCCTCCCTCAAGAAGGAGGCCCCCGACGTGCCGGGCCTGGACCCCCAGGGCACAGCTGACACCACACAGGGGGTCCTGAGGCAGGTGAAGAGCGAGCTGGGCCGCAGCGGGGCCTGGAAGGACCCTTGGTGGAGCCCCATGCAGTCTGAGCGGAGGAACCCCGCCTCTGCCGAAGACGCCAAGGCCGAGGAGCCAGCAGGCGGGAAGGACAAAGCTGGTGGCGGCCAACTGAGGGCCGAGCGTGGGCAGCTGCAGGGCCCCGTGGCCGCCGAGTACTGGAAGGAGTGGCCCAGTGCTGAGTCCCCGTACTCACAGAGCTCGGAACTGAGCCTCACCGGAGCAAGCCGCAGCGAGACACCCCAGAACAGCCCTCTGCCTTCCTCCCCGATTGTGCCCCTGGCTAAGCCTGCCAAACCTTCAGTGCCCCCACTGACGCCCGAGCAGTACGAGGTGTACATGTACCAGGAGGTGGACACCATCGAGCTTACCCGGCAGGTGAAGGAGAAGCTGGCCAAGAACGGCATCTGCCAGAGGATCTTTGGGGAGAAGGTAAGGGGCTCCCCTCTCTCACGGAATCTACCCTCACCATATTGCCGGGGCTGCCCCAGACATTCCTGCGCATCATGACAAGACCCTCACTTACAGTGCATCGAGGCTCCCTTAGTCAGGAAGGCAGGGGAAGGTAGGGTGGGGCAGTCTACACAGCTCAGGAGGCAGAGGTACGAGGATGGAGATTCGAGGCCAGCCTAGGCAAAAGGATGACCCCTCCCTAAAAAAATAAAGCAAGAAGGGATGGCTGAACTGGTAGAATGTTTTCTTAGCACAAGGCCCTGAGATCAAATCCCACTAATACCAAATTTTAAAAATGCTGGGCACCAGTCATCCTAGCTACTCTAGAAGCTGAGATCTGAACATTTCAGTTCAAGGCCAGCCTGGGCAGGCCTGTGAGACTCTTATCTCCAATGAAGCACCAAAATGCCAAACTTGGAGCTGTAGTTCAAGTAATGGAGCCACCAGCCTTGAGCAAAGTAATGATCAGGGATTGGCTGGGAATGTGACTCAGTGGTAGAATGCTTGCCTAGCATGCATGAAGCCCTGGGTTCGATTTCTCAGTACCACATAAACAGAAAGAGCCAGAAGTGGTGGTGTGGCTCAAGTAATAAAGTACTAGACTTGAGCACAGAGAGGTTCAGGGATGGTGCCCAGGCCCTGAGATCAAGCCCTAGGATAGGCGACAGGCATGAGAGAGAGAGGAAAGAGAGAGAGAGATAACTACAAAAAGCACATTTGTTCTTTTCTCATCCAAGTTAGCGGGCAAAGCACCATGCTGGGAACACCTACTGCCTCGGCCCTTGGGAGCATGCTCAAGTCCGCCCTATTTCCCTGTCCCCTTCTGGCTCAGGAAAGTGTAATACTTCATGCATGAGCTTCCAGACCTTTCTGTTCTTGGCACTCCCTTGGTGACAGATTCTGGATAATAGGATTTACAGGGCCTGTGAAGCCTAAAATAAACATAACGGCCTGGTATCATTCTAGACAAAGGAGTGGCCTGCTGAAAAAAGCCTCCCGCCTTGGCCTGCCCCTTGCCCAGCCCCACCTGCAGCCCCAGGTCCCACCCTACGGGTGCTGTGCCTGTGAGATCTTTGTCCTGATTTTGCAGAAGGTGATAAGGGTGCATAGAAATGAGGATGAGAACTTTAAGTCCCTTGAGATTTCTAGCAGCGTTGTAAAAATATCATTTGAGAACATTTAAATAGACATTTGTACCCAGGCCTTAAATTTAGCAGACTTAATAACATTGAACTTGTTTGGCCCTGAGTACAGTTTATTCTGGAACTTGAGAACTTTTCTGGGTGATGGGATGCAGCCCCTAAATATCTCCGGGCTGCATGTGTGTCCAGGGTGGGGTGTTGGCGCCCATACATATGGATGGCCATATGGAAGACCTGCCGAGGACGTAAGGCCTGTCAATCATCTGCAGTGAAGCCCCACCCACCCAGGCACTGCCCCTCCCCTCACTCTGGGTTCCCCCCCCCCCCAACATGATGAGTGGCCATGGTCACAGAGTGCCCATGGCTCAGCATCATTAGAGGAGGCCACATCCTGCCTGCATCCCCCTCCTGCCTCTTGAGGGGTTCTGGAACTAGCACCCCATCCTCTTACCTCACCACCCAAGCACAAGATGTTTTCCCTGCTGTTCGGTAGGCATCTGAGTGAGCACCATTCCTCCCTGGATGAGACCCCTGCCCTTTCTTTCCCTTGAACTGGGCCTCTGAGATAGCTGGATCCCATGCTGGGTTGTCGGGCCCCCCCAAGTGAGCAGCAGGGGTAGAGCTGGTTTTCTGCCAAGGGCCATTTGGATCCTCATAACATCCTGGGCCTACAAATAGACAGGCTTGAGAGCAGCCAGTAAGAGGAAGATGTGTCTGTCCGGTCGTGTACGGAATGATCCAGAGGGCTTTGCGGTTCCCACCACCAAGGCTGACCCCCGAAAGCGGCTCTGCCCATCGGGCTGAGCTGTGAGCTCACATGTGTTCTCCCCCGCCACCCCTCACCCACACCCCCCCGCCCCCGGCCGCATGTCCCTGTGTGGCACTGACAGCCTCGTGTCTCTACTCACCACTCCAGGTGCTTGGCCTGTCCCAGGGCAGTGTCAGTGACATGCTATCTCGCCCAAAGCCGTGGAGTAAGCTGACCCAGAAAGGCCGAGAGCCCTTCATCCGGATGCAGCTGTGGCTGAACGGCGAGCTGGGCCAGGGAGTACTGCCCGTGCAGGGCCAGCAGCAAGGACCAGGTGAGGGCAAGGGCCGTCACCATCTTAGCCAGGAATTGAGGAGGGCGTCACCAGCCATGGGGGGGGGGGCAGGAGCAGGGAGGGATCCCCTGCCCCCCAGCAGCCAGCTGTTCTGGAGTGCAAGAACTTCTCTCTTTAAACCTGTGGCCAAAGCACTGACTTGAGATTTTAAAACTGAGAAGACTGTGCCTGGCTAATTTTATAAGCAGCAGAAAATGAGTTACCAATTAAGAAAATGCTGTTTATACATAAATATAAGTAAAAGTCAAGTAGCTAAATCAGGAAGTCAGGAAGGAAGCCAGCCACAGGCACAGAGTGAATGTCACAGGCAGCCCCAGGCCCCTGGCCCAGGGCCCCCATCCTGAGGTCCCCACCCTTCCTGTGTGCAGATGACTGCTCTGTGCCTGTCACCCCATAACTCTGCCTTCCTCTTCCCCAGCCCTCCACTCGGTGACGTCACTGCAGGACCCCCTTCAGCCAGGCTGCGTGAGCTCAGGTGAGCTTCTGTGAAATGCCTTGCTGTCTTGTGCAGCCTCTTCCCTCAGGTCAGGACTGGGGACTTGAAGGTCCAGACTCAGGTCTGGATTTGAGGAGCTGGGAGATACTCCCATCTCTGTCATTTGGAGAGTGTCAAGTCTTCAATGCAGTCATGTGAGAAATGACCTTCAGGGATTCGCTTTCTCCACTACAGAATGACCTTGAGATCTGTTCAACTTGTGTGGGATAGTTGGTTTCTTTTCACCACTGCATAATGTTCCACAGTATGGGTGCAGGACAGTTTGTGTTACTGCTCACTTGAGAGTAAAAAGAAATGCCAGATCTGGTGGTACATGCCTGTAATCCCAACTTCTTGGGTGACAGAGTTAGGAGGATTGCCATTCAAACTAGCAAGGCTCTATCATCTCTAAGACAAGACAAGCCATGGAGGTATATGCCCGTAATCTTGGTTCAAGGCTGACCCGGGCAAAGATCACAAGACCCTAGCTCAAAAATAACTAAAGCAGGGGCTGGGAAGGTGGCTCAGTGGTAGAGCGCTTGCCTTGCATGCTTGAGGCCCTGGGTTCGATTCCTCAGCACCACATAAGCAAAAAAGACAAAAGCCGGAAGTGGTGCTATGGCTCAAGTGGTAGAGTGCTAGCCTTGAGCTGAAGAGCTGAGGGACAGCGCCCAGGCCCAGAGTTCAGGCCCCACGACCAGACCAAAAAAATAATAAAAAAAAAAAAATAACTAAAGCACAGAACAGCTGATGGTGTGGCTCATGAGGTAGAGTGCAAAACCCAGTACCATCAAAAACAAAGAAAAGCAAGAAGAAAGAAGTGTGTCTTCCACACAAAACTGGGTCCCTCACAGGGCTAGCCAGAGCCGGTCCCCAAGGGGAGGCCCCAGTACTCACTGGACCCCTCATCCTGTGCTGCTTTGTAGATGTGGGCCCTGCAGAGCAGGCACCCTTGGAGCAAGAGAGCAGGTGGTGTGGAGTATGAGGAGAGGGGAGGGACTGAGCAGGTGGGGAGGAGCCACCTGCCATTGGCCTCAGAAAGCAACGGGTCTCTGGCCATTGGCCTCGGGGAGCCGGCAGGTCTCTGGCAGAGCCTGAAGCCCAGGTGCTGGGGCACCATGTGCTCTGCTGCCCACAGCCACTGCTCCCAGCCCCTCCCGCCTCTCCCCACTTCTCACGCTGAGCCCACAGATGGAGGCAGCTTTTCTCTCCTAGCTTCAGGAACAGCCAGCATGGTGAACGCTCTTTTTTTTTTCCTTTCTCTATTTTTCTAAACATGTTGATTAATCTCCCTATCCCACTGATTCATTGAAAACACAAACAAAGCTAAGTGAGGAGCCCGAAGCCCGCCAGCTTGCGGGAAGGTTTGTTAACGAGGGGCCACATGTGCGGGGAGGGGAACAGCTGGGCAGCCTCAGCGGCTGCAGCAGCGGCTGCTACCAGAGCCCAAACGCATACAGACACAGCCAGAGCACAGCAGCGCCATCACCACCTGGGATTCTAGTAGGCTCTAGGTGTTCTTGTTTGGGTTTACCCAAAATGGGGGACTGAAGGCCATAGCCACTCTCCAGCAGGGGGAGCCACAGGCAGCTCACATTCAGGACATGGAGGGCGAAGAGCAGGTGGAACCGTCGTGCTGGGTGTAAGTGGGCATCCGAGGAAGGGTCAGCCTGGCTTCTCACTCTCATGGGAAAGTGGGGCCCTGGGACTCCTGCTAGCATCCGCTGCCCATCAGAGGCTGAACCAGCCTGGTGGGACGAGGCTGGCACTTGTGAGTCAACGCAATACCTCTGTCCTTGGGAAGGTGTGGTCTTCCTGGAGAAGTGGTGATACTGTAACAGAGAGCCCAGCCCAGGCAAAAGCACAAGACCCCAGCTGAAAAGCAAACTAAGAGCAAGAGGACTGAGGCATGGTAACATGGTCCAGGGCCTGCCTAGCAAGCATAAGTCCCTGGGATCAATCCCCAGAACTCACCAGACGGTTTATGCAGAGGCGACAAACAATCTCTTCCTATGTCACCCCAGCAAAAAGCCCCAGGTGTCAGTGCTCATGCCTGCCACCCCAGCTACTCGGGAGGAGCTGAGGATTGCAGTACAAAGCCAGCCCAAGCAGGAAAGTTCTTGAGACTCTTTTCTCCAGTTAACCAGCAAAAAGCCAGAAGAATACTAGCCTTGAGCAAAAAAAAGCTCAGGAACAGCACCCAGGCCCTAAGTTCAAGCCATAGGATTGGCACAGATAAAAAGTTGCAAGTGGAATTGTAGTTCAAGCAGTAAAACACCAGCCTTGAGCAAGAAAGCCAAGCAAGAGCAAGAGGCCCTGTGTTCAAGCCCCAGTACCACCCAACCTCCTGCTGTCAGTGAGCAATAGGAGAATCAATAACAATGAATATGAAGAGAGATGAAACAGTATTTCTTGTATAGGAACAAATAAAGGGTTTTATATCATATGGAGGTAGAGCTGTGTTTCTGGACCAGGAAGGACAGACAGTCCAGGCTCCTCACCAGAGATGGGCCGGGGTGGAGACGGGGGGGGGGGGGGAGGTGACCCTGAGACCAGAGTGGGGGAGTCCTCTTGTGACATTCCTTTATCAGGTATTGTTTCCAGAGAGTTCCTGAAAGTTAAGCTAAGCTAGCAGTGCATAAATTTAAGATTTAGAAGTAAAGTTGTTTCATAATGTATTTAGAGGTTTTGAATGTGTTTCATAAATGAAATCTTTGGGACGAATGACTAGGGGATATTTCTAGAATCTTCCTTGACAGCTTTTTAAAAAGAAAAGAAAAAGGAGCTTTCATCATTGCTCCCCTAAAGGCAGAGAAAGACTTGGGTCCTGAGACTCCAGTGATTCTGATCTTCTCCTGTGGCAGCCACCACAGCACCCAACTCTGGGGCCCAGGGCAGGATTGGGGTGGGGAGACCTGTCCCCTCAGTTTGCCTGAAGCCACCAGGTGGGTGAGGGAGGTAATCTCAGCCCTGACCAGGTTGGCTCCCCAACCATGGTGAGACCGCTCAGAGCCTGAATCCAGACCTCTCCATGGGGGACACCATCTTTGGGGGAACCTGTCTTCAGGGACAGGCTGTGGGGGCTCTGGGCTTTGTTGCCATGGTGACATGTTGGGAGCCTAAGGGCCCCTCCCCGTCTTTCTGCCCAGCTCCAGGCCCCTGAGCATCTCTGGCCTCACCAGGGAGGGGAGGCGGGCAAGGCTGGCACATGGAGTGAGGCAGGGCCCAGGTATAAAGGGCGGATACTCAAGGCTGGGTGGTCCCCGGCCCACCTGGCGGCTGTGCGTGGAGACACGGTTTCAGATGGTCTCGGGCTCCGCTGCCTCAACCTACCCAACAGTGGCAGTATCTGAGGGTGAAGGACTCACAAAAGCCTGTTTTGTGTTTGGTTCTGCTTTTTTTTTTTTTTTTTTTTGGAAGTAGAGAATAAACCTACAGCCTTGTACCCGAGGGGCTGGTGCTCTACCATATGAGACGTACCCCCAGCCCTTTTCTTCCTTTAGTTATTTCTCAGATAGGGTCTCATGTTTTTTCCTGGGCTGGCCTTGGGCCACCTTCTTCCTGCCCCTGGGATTACAGCTTAGCATGCATGCTTGTTCTTTGAGATGAGGTCTGACAAACTTTTGGCCTGGCCTGGCCTGGCTCCAGACCCAGGCTCCACTGTCTCCATCTGCTAAGTAGCTGGGATTACAGGCATGTACCACAGCATCCAACCCAGGAATGAGCTCTGGGGGACCTGGGGCCCTGTCATCCTTCCCTGTGTATCTTTGAGCAGCTCTTGTTTTTTGTTCTTTTTCCTTTTCGTATATATTAGTCATACAAAGGGTTTCGTTGTGATAGTTCCATAAATTTCTCTGATCCAATTGACCCCTCTATTGCTATCTATGCCCCTCCCTTTTAAACAGTAGTGAGCAGGTTTCATTAGTCTGTTTCCACGCATGGGTGTGAAGTGCTTTGGTGGTGCTCCCGCCTCGAGCTGTGTGAAGGCATGCATGTGGGTGAGCTGGCAGTGCTCTGGGTAGATAGGATCTACTAAGCATTACATGATCCTTTATTCTTTCTCATGTTGAAATTCATTTCCCGTGCCTGCTTCCTCGGTGGGATTAATCTTTTGGCCTCTAGAGAAGTGGTGTGGGGGGAGCCTACAGGAGGAGGAGAGGGGAGCAGGAGGCCTTCCCCAATGTTCCCTTGATCACCTACATCTAGGGCTTGCCTGTGCCCTGACCAGGGGCTGTGATGTGAGAGCACTGTGCCTGGTGCCGGCCCCTTCCCTGCTTGGTGGCTGTACAAGCGGAAGGGTGGCCAGGCCCCTCCTGTTGGAAACAAAACTCACAGCATTTCCACCAAACAGCAGTCACAGCAGCAGCAGCTTCTAAGTTGAAGGCCCCAGGCCCCGGGTCCCTGCTTGTCCATCAGCTGCCGGGTCCCTGCTTGTCCATCAGCCGCCTTGGGGAGAGCACTGTGACCGGCCCTGCTATGGGTGCTCCAAGCTCATCCCTCCTGCCATCCCTGCCAGAGCTTTGGCCAGAGCCACCATCACCAGAGCCATGTGCCTTTGCCTTTTTGCTTTTTTTGTGGCAGTACTGGGGCTTGAACTCAGGGCCTGAATGCTGTCCCTTAAGCTTTTCCATTCAAAGACTGGCACTGTACCACGTAAGCCAGTTCTTCTTCCAGCTTTTTTGGTGGCTAATTGGAGATAGAGTTTCAAAGACTTTCCTGCCCTATCCTCAGATCTCAGCCTCCTATGTAGCTGGGATTACAGGCGTGAGCCACCAGCTCCCGGCCTCTATATCTTCTTCCATTAGGAACTGGGGTTCTAAATTCAGGTTGCATCTGAATGGGCCGATGTTGGGTTTGTCTTTCACACAAAGGCCAGAACAAGCCTGTCATTTGGGACCTAAATAAAACAGCCAGACTGTCTCTGTAGCAACTTTCCTGTTAGGGAAGACTAGAATTGGGACATTTGATTTGATAAGAAAGTGTGTTGGGTAACTGGGCCG